ATGAAAAAGAAGATTAAACTAATTTTCAGTTGCAAGTTGTAAGATCAAGAGGTACTTGCCTTTTTTTTTTTTTTTGAAACAGCAAAGCAGCAACTCATGGACAAAGCAACATCAGAAAGGGAAAGGCAAGTCTAATTTGCTTTGCAAATCAGTAGTTCAGACACAGAACCCAGACAAGATGCAGATGTCTAACGGATGTCTCAGTACATGCGCCCCCACGCAAGAGCCACTTTGAGGTCTGAGCACTAGCAAACCTCTTCAAATGTAATAGAGCACCAGAAAGACTACTGCTATTATTCTCATGTTCAAGTTCTTGATTCTCAAACTCTTACCCAAGGGATGACTGCTGGGAAGAGCACACCCTGCTCCAAACAGCTGTGAAGTGTGTTTACAGAGAAACATGCGTTTGCTTTCTGGGGAAATGCCCTGAAGACGCTGGCTTGCTGAAGGGGTTTTACACAGTCAAAGTGACAGAGACAAGGCAACCTAAATCCAGAGCTGGAAAGCGCATCCATATGCAATGTTGTACCCACACAATTTGTGCCCAGCAGCTCCTCAGCTATCAGAACACTGCAGAGATTGAACTAGATTCTAAAGCTCTTTATGAGCAGGTTCAACCAACATGATCTCAGGTAGACAAGCTCAGAAACACTTTCCAGGATGACCGCTTCAAATTTAAAGCTACCAGCTCAGATCCACTACTTGCCACAGAAATCACTATTAGATGTGGCTAACATTTTATCACAAACAGGTACAGAAAATAAACTTCTATGTCAAAGCAAGCTCTCCTTACAGAAAATAAGAGCTTGAATGGCAGAAGGTACACAGCTGCTGCTGTGCTTCAGGAACTTTTTAACACATCCTTACTCATGCTTAGCTCTGTTCTATCTCGCCTGTCACCTTCTCCAACCATCACACACACTGCTTGTCTTCAGGCAAGTTTTCTTTCATATGCATAATGTGTAACAGCCTTACAGTTACACCACAAGCTGTTCTTCTCTAACCGAAATACATTTGGTCTTTCATGCTACACTCTAAACCACATCTACTACATCATTTTACAGAATGTTTAAGAAAGCAATAGCAGTTTGAAGTTCAAGTACACAAGAGCTACAGGAAGCTCATGTGCTGAGAAATCATATTCAAACCATTATAATGGCAGCTTCCCAGGCATGTGAAGCAATCATGCACATATGCAAATAGGTCCAGTAATGACTTATTTATGACATCTCCCACTTAAATATGTGAAAGCGCTTAATAGAGCTGAGCAAGTTCACCTAAGGGTCACCTCTCTGTATTCAACACACGTTTCTTCACTGAGACTAAGCTGAACGCTAAACTCAGGGTTCCCTTTCAGCACACATGAACACACTTGTGGTTTCATGACAAAGGCTGAAAAGTTAGTCAACTTTATATACAGTCAACTGTAGGAGTTGAGTTATGAAAAACTACAACATTAAGTGGTAAGTAGATTTGACTTACAGCCCAAAATTAGGAATTCTGCATAACAGCAATCCTGCGATGTACACCACTTTAAGGAATTTCCCTTCCACTCAGAAGTCTAAAAGTTATACAAGTTATGCACCAACTCCTGTCCTTGCAAGGGGGCAAAAACATTACCTGTCATCAAATGGTCTTACATCCAGGATAGATCAGATTAGGCAAAACAGCAGCCAGAGGAGACAGTTTGCATTTGCTGCTCTACCATCACACTGGAAACATTTCCTGAAATTATTACATGGAAGGTGAACCCAAACTGTCACGCTTTATTTTGCATTTAAAGTAACAAATTTAAAGAACAGATCACAAAGTTAACTTTAACTTCAGAATTCCTTTCTCCTGTGTTGTCACATGAAAGATGTAAGGGGAAGAAGGAAAAACAGGGAGAGACCAAACCGGCTAGTGCCTTCCTATATCCAACCAGTTCCCTGTATTCTTTCCCAGGTGATCATACTGCAGCAACCCCAGAGACACCTTTACACAGAAGACACAAAGTGAATTCCAATTGCAAGTCACACGACAGCACAGTCAGCTGTCAGAGCACACAAGAGCAAAGGAGAAAGCATGTTGAAACCAGTCACTGCAAACCATGACATTTGACAAAGTTTCAGAAAATTAAAGCTTTTCTTCTTTCTCCAGAGTGTCCAAGCATACCAGCAGTAAGACTACACAAACAAGCAATGAAACCACTAACTCAAGTTTAAGTAGCCCTATGCCTCAGCTCTTGCACAGTTTTTTGACACCTTTCTTCCTGCAAAACAATTTTCTGAGTATCACTCTATTCTTACTTAAAGGAGAGTCAGTGTTTCTTCTAGTCCTCCACATTTCCCTTCCTTTCCCACCTTTTGACATTCACACACCAGACAGAAGCTGCTGCAGCTTCACCAGCCCTACTATGCCACACTAAAGTCAGGATGCTGTTTTCTTAACCCTTGTAAAATCAATCAAAACCTTAAGGCAGTAGAAATAGGTTGGTCAGGGACTTGTCCACATTGTACCTTTTGGCTCAGACATCAGCCAATAGTATAAGCATTTGCATGACCTGACTGCATCATCCTTCACTCAGTAACTTTCCTTCTCAGTAACTGTGCCTGAGATGACACTTCACCACCAATTTCCGTGGGGTCCTCCCACCTGTCAGTCTGCAAATTCTTATTTTTCCTCTAACCATTCCAGATTACTAGGCATAAGCCTTTCAAAGCAGTTTTTCTCACCATGGCATGACAGCAAGTGCATGCTTTTGAAACACTGCATCTTAAAAGAAAAGCTGCCAATTATGCTACTGTTTCAAAATTTTTCTCTTGCCTGTAGCAAAAAGAAACTAGCTTAATTAATTAGCATTCAAAAAAGAGACTACATGTCTCTCAGTGGCACTACCAAATATTCCTCCAGTCGCAGACATGCAACAAAACCAAGACAGACATTGACAGAACACAATGCTATTCTCAAAATAGGAACCACTTGATAATCAAGACATTTAGGGTAGGGTGTTTTGGTTTTATGTAATCATTAGTCAGAGGAATTAAAATTCCCTCCAGAAGCCACACAACAGCTCCTAACTTCTGTCTAGATCCTACAATTAGGGTGGTCACCTGACAAAACCACTTTCTGCCACCCCCTTGGATTAATCTTGCAAGCAAATCTACTTTGTCCTTTTAATAATTTAACAGTATCACACCTGATTGCAGAAGGAGAGCCCATTGCCTCCAGTGACCCTGCCTTAGTGCTAGCTGTTGACTGAGATAATGTGCTTCTGGAAGTCCCACTGCATAGTCTAGCTAAATAATGAAGAAACAAAGACTAGTAAGATACTGTTGGCCAGACTAGATTCATGGCTGCATTCAGAGCAGGAACATGCCAAAACATAAAGAACAGTGCCACTTCAATATAGCAGTCCTCATTTCTCAAAGTTTTCTTAACACACCCATAAATAATAACATTTGGCCATACCCTTAGTAAGAAGATGACTGTCAAGTGACACCCCGGCCAAGCCACTTTGGGTTATTTCACATTAGAATGAATACAGTGGCATAACCCAGCCCTCCTGCCCACAGGTGACTTGAACACAGCAATTCTTATAAAATGGTTTGGGTTGGAAGAGGCCTTAAAGATTACCCAGTTCCAACCCCCGGCAGTGGGCAGGGACACCTCACACTAGACCAGACTGCTGACCTTCTCACCCTCAGACCTCCTGTGTCTGTGGATGCTCCCACAGTGAGGTCCCCCCACAGGGACATCCTCAGCCCACCCGCCCACCCTCTGATGAGGCTCATGCACCTTCGCTAACCTTGGTCTCCAGCCTGGGCACATGCACCGCGGAGCTTCCCTCAACGCCTCCCGGCCTGACCCTCACAGGAACGGGCGACCAAAAGCCCTGCTCAGGCGGCCCCGGGGGCCGGGCCCGCCCCGGGCTGATCTCCCGCACACCCCGCTCGCTCACACGCCGTCCCAGGGAGAGAGGGAGCGAGCACGGGCACCGGAAGAGCCCCCTCGCCTCTCACCCCGCCGGTTCTAACCCTCCCCCGCGGGAAGGCCCCTTCGGCTGCCGCCTGTCCCTTCCCGCCCCACCGGCCGCTTCTCGCTGCCCACCTGCACAGCTCCCGGTATGTTTCGTTCAGGGCCGCGGCGGCCCCGCCGCCTCCCCCCGGCCGCAGGGACAGCATCAGAAGGCCGAGGAGGAGCGGGGCGGCGCGGGACCGCGGCAGCGCCGTGCGGGGGGCAGCGAGTGCCATGGGCGCAGACCGGGCCGGGCCGGGCCGAGCCGACGCGGCTGCCCCGGGACGTCAGGCGGCGCCGCCGACCAGAGGGACGTCATGTGACACCCCGCCGCCCGCCTACTCTGCGGTCACGTGACCGCCGTCATGTGCGGGCGCGGCATTCACATGATATGCCTCCTCTGTCGGCGGCGGAGTGGGCGCAGCCTTCTGTCGTAATCCCCCCTCAGGCACACAGGCACCCCGGCCTGCACGTGCTGGGGGCGGCGGTGGCGCGGCCTCAGGTGCTGTGGTGCGGCCCCTCAGTCAGTGTCAGTCAGGGCCGGGGTATAATGGCCACCAGCCACCTCTACGGCCTCCCTGTGCTACCTGCTCACAGGAAACGGGAGGGAGGGAGGCCTTTCCTCCGCGCCCCCTGGTGTGGTCTCATCTGGTCTGGTCTCATCTGGTGTGGTGTGGTCTGGGGGGGGGGGCTGACCCGCTGCCACGTGGGCAGCCTTGCAAAACACTACCTGAAAGAAGTATGAAGTGAGGAAGTGGCTGGTTTCTTCTAAGTTACAAGTGATAGGACAAGAGGTAATGGCTTCCAGCTGCGCCAGGGGAGGTTTAAATTGGATATTAGGAACAATTTCTTCACCACACGGGTGGTCACAGGCTGCCCAGGGAGGAGGTGGAATTACTGTCCCTGGGAGTGTTCAAAAACTCTGTAGATGAGAACCTAAATGACATGCTTTAGTGGTGGAGTTGGCAGTCCTGGGGCAATAGTTGGACTTGATCTTCAAAGTCTCATCCAGCCCAGTTGGTTCTGTGATTCTATGGTACTTACTCTGGAGCATCGGCCTGGAAAGGGGCAGGCTACCTGCTGGGCAGTGTGGCATCAGGAGGGAGACTCACAGCCTGGTGCTGTGCTGGCTGCTGGCTGGCTTTTGTGTGGGGTATTAAGTGTGCAGAGGCTCACCTTGTGAAATGTGCTGTGAGTGCTCACATAGGAGACAAAGTGCTTGGAAAAGGTTAAATGGGGTTTTAAATAAGTTACTCAAAATGTGCTGTGAACGATAGAATCACAGAATGGTTAGGGCTGGAAGGGAGCTTTAAATCGGCCACCTTGAGACCAGAAAACTAAACCCATTAGAGATGGTGACTGAGGAGGCAGTGACAGCGATGTTGTCAGTTACATGGCTGCAAGAGTTACTACTACAGTGGGGAAGCTGGCATGGTGTGGAAATTATCCCCCATTTCAAACAGCGGGCAGAAGGGAGGGCTTGCACAAGACAGCAACCTCATCAGAGGGAAGTGGAACAGATACTAACCTATCACCTCTGCCTTATAAACTGCCAAGAAGAGCCAGATGTCCCAGAGCTTGTATAATAGATTATTTCCAGGGTTTATCAAATTTTTACTGGAGTGTTTAATATTCAAAAGAGAGACTTAGCATTTATTTTTTATGAAACAGCATTTAAGAAGAAAAGGACCTTTGGGAGTGGGAAGAGGCATAAAGGTGGGGAGAGTGAAAGAAAATAAAAATTGCAGCCATTAAACAGACAGCTGTCTTATTTGTGTGAAGAAATTCTTCACTAGTTACAAATGCTTTCCGAAAGTCAATCACACAAAGAAACACAAAGGCCCACAACTGAAGTAGTTTATTTTTCTTGCCCCATTCCTGGTTATCCAAAGCAGTAAGACAGCACTGAAGATTGGCCTCTATGGCAGTTTAGCCTGGTTCCAGGCTGCTATAATCATGTCCTTTTCTCCTTTTCTCTCCATTACATATTCAGCATCCCCTCTTTTCAGTAGCACCAGTCCTTCTGCAGCAGGGCAGTTTGCTGGTTAAAGGTGCTGATCTGGCTGAAAGCTAACATACTATGTTGATTGTTCTGTGTAGGTTTTGAGCTCTACCAGTTGCCTGATGTACTTGGCTCACTGCATAGCTGCATAAACACCTACACCAGCTCAGGGAGGGAAAGAGGAAGGCATCAATGGTGCTGCAGGGGAGGAGTTCCCGGGTAAGATCAGCTTTAGCTGCTGTGAAATTTCACCCGACCAGAGAAGCCAGAAGTTACGGCTAAAGTCAAACCAATCCTGCCCACCACCAAGCACAGCCTCGGCCCCCACTCCCTGCTGCCTGTCTGCCTTCATAAGACGTGCTAGTGCTTGTGTAAAGCCACTCAACAAAATTCAGCTCACTAGTCCAACAGGAAAAAATCACCTACTGAAAAAGAAGGAATAGTTTTCTTCTGGCTCAGCAGCTGTAGCAGCTTAGTGAAGAGATGAATCCTGGTACAGGGGCAGAGGAGGAAGAGGAGACAGGTAAAGAAGAAATGGACTGCATGTGTTGGCCTTTGAAGCCATAGCAACTTAGCTTTTAAAGTTACCACAGCCTAGCCCAATAGCCATGTCCTCAGCTGATGGAGAGGATGACCTTCAGTCTTTATGCTGGAAAGAGTGTTGTGAAACAGTAATCAATCTATCTTTTCTCAGAACCTAAGAAAGAAAAATTTAATGAAAAGGACTGAGTAACTGCTGTTACCCTTGGCAGTTTTCCATTAGCATATAATGGATTACTGCCAGCTCTTCCACTTCTGTTTTACCCTTCAGTGTTTCCTTAATCTGATTACCTGAGAATCCCTGTTGTCTGCTTGTAAAACTCCAGACTGTAAAGACAAGCTTGATGACAGGAGCTCAAAGGCTCAAAAGAAAACAAAAGCAGTAGACAAAATGAATACCGAGTCTATTATTGCTGTGATTATGTTTCCTAAAATTTGCTGTTCTGCTGGCTGTACCCCCACCACTCACTGTAGCCAGAGTGGTGCAGATACATAAAACTTAGTAGTAAATTCTGACTCTGCTTACCAAGTTCCATTAAAAATGTAAGGACCCAGAAATTCACTGCAGACAGCAGTGCTGGCAGGCATACTGTAGCTTCTGATCTCACTAGCTGTCCGTGTTCCTGCAAGTAGAGCTTTATTCCTGAAATTACCCTTGTGTACTTTCAAGCATGTGAGTGACTCCACTGAAGACAATGTGAATGTGACTGCTCACCTTGGTAACATTAAGAATGCGTGTGAAGATCTGTAGTGTCAGGGCCTGGCAGTGGAAGCAGTTAGTTTCAGTTATCTGGTAAGGGCCAATTCAAAGTTGTTTACTGACAAAAGAATGAAGGAGTTGATACATGTTGCATTCTTCATTCTACATACTGCTATGTATTCATAGGCCTTATGTTTGCACAAGGCACAGAGGCTTCAGAGCAGTTTCTTTGCATGTAGAGAAAAGTATGTGAACAGCTACCTCACAAGAAAGAAAGAAAATAAACCATCAAGTTAAAAAATTCTGGTTAGAAAAGAAATTCTACTTTCCTGTGCAGTACTAATACACAAATGCATCAACCTAACAATGAATCAGAGTTGCAACACAGCAAGGATAGCCATGGAAATGCAGAAATACTGAAATATACAATATAAGCACATATATATATAATTTTAAAATAAATATAATTTTAAAATAAAGTTATAACGTAGTTTTCTGATTCCAATCCTGTGCATTCAGAGTCTAGGCCTCCAACTGGTTCCATTTCCTATATATTTTCCTTAACTTTTATAATCTGGGGGACTCATTGTTTCTCAATGTTTCTCCCATGTTTAAAGCTAACTACATGCATAAGCTGTGTGTCAGTCATTTTTGTATCCTAAGCTGTGTTTTGCAATAGGCAGAAGTGTTTTATTCTGAGTATCATTTATAAGTAATAATTGAAATATTTACCACCTGTGCTTAATGTTACCGGCATCTTGGCTAACAGGATACCATTAAAATATCCTGAAATGTAATCTCATAATCTTACCTTTTCCTTTTTCTCAGGAGAGGCTCAGCTCAATGATGAATCATTGAATCCCAGTCTACCTCAGATTCATGCTGAAATTTCCAAGCTATGGATGATTTTCAGAGGCAGGATATCATACATAAGTGGTGAATACAAGGATTCTTCCTTGCAGGTTGCCAGGTGTCAAATGTCACATCAGTTCATGGTTCTTCTGATCCACAGTCTTGTTTCATGTGGCCAGAATCAGCTTCTGCAGTACAGGCTGGCTGAGTGGCAGCTCATTTCTACTGTTTCTGTCTCAATTCCCTTTAGCACTCATATCTAATCTCTGTGTTTTCAGTAAATAGGAATAAAAATGCTTTGAGAATACAGAGTTAGTTTTATATTTGATTGTGGAAAATTCTTTCTCCAGGGAGGTTTGGACAGTTTATTTCCAGCTGTCTGTAAACTATGCTATAATAAAATAATTGGTTTCATGCTTTATGAAAATTTCATAAGACTGCTCCATGGATCTGTACTGTTCTTCAGAAAGCGCAGAGGCACTGCTCACCGGGTGGTTCTCTCTTCTTTTCCTGTTCTTTGCTTGCTGCACCTAAACTTTCGTCTTCTCAATCTTACACCCATTGCCATTATTTCTGAATGTTCCTCTTTCTTTTTGCTGCTCATTCAGTCTCTTGCCATTTCCCTTAAGTCTTTCGACTCCTTTTCCTTCCTTTTCTGTTCTGCTTCTGCTCTTCCCTCTTTCTTTCTAGCACTTTTCACAAGCAAGGCCTTGATAAGAGTTATCTCCTGATTTGTTATTATGAGTTATTCTGCTTCATAACAATGTAAAATAAGACTTTTGAGGAAAACAGTGCCTGATGGCCTTTGGTAGACTTACGTTTAGGTAGACTTACGTTTGGTAGACTTACGTTTAGGCTTCCCAATGCAGTTAGACAATTAATGACATTTCCTAATCTAGCTGATATCATTCAATGCAACTGTAAAAGAATATCAGCTTTATCTAAACACATTGACTTTATCTGAAATCTTTGTCTTGTTGGGAAAGTTCTTAGAGGCTGTACTCAGTGTATGTGCTGAAAAGGGCACTGCTCTGTACTGTGGCTTGGAAGATTAGAACACGGCCCTAGACAAGGCCATTCTTAAATCATTGCCTGAGTAAGCTTATAGCAGCTTTTCAGTATTCCCTCATCTGTTTTCACATCTTTGGTCTAGTTTTCTAGTTTTTCACATCCTTTTTTTTAGTTTTCACAGCTTTTGGCTGTGGTTGAGTCAGAACTTGGTATTTTATAATGATGGAGGATCTAATTCACCAGCTAGGACCAAGGTTACTTGGTGGACATACACCAAGTAAAACAAGAATTCAAAATACAAATCACTTCACCAGAGCAAACCAATGGTATGTCATTGTTAGTCAATGAATTTTCAGTAGCACAAGTTTTTTATGTGGGAGGAATATGATCTGACTTCCCTGCTAATCTTGTTTCATTTGAAGGACCTACTAGAAATTTACCACAAATGATTTAACCTCAAAGCACCTTACCAGTAAATCTAGAGTGAAAGACTCTTCAGTGTTTCAAACCTTGTTACCGAGTCCTGGGCTCTTTTATTTCAGTGTCAGTCTTCACACTTCAGTCTGTTCTTCTCGCAGGAGCTTTTGTCTCTGTGGTTTCTTTGTTGACAGCCATCTTTGAGCTAGCCATCATCCTTTGGTTCTGTGTGTTATGCCAATACTGGGATGGCATGCAACATGAACCTCCTCTTGCTGACCTCGCTGTGTTCGCAGTGAGCATTCTGTCAGACAAGCAGATGTAAGTATGATGGTAGCAAACACAGCCCCCCTTTATAAGGCAGGCTTTGGAAATGAAAATATTTCCACATGTATCTGTTATTTCAGAATTATTTTCTGACAGTTCCCTCTCTTCTCCTCCTGCTTTATATTTGTCAGCAATCTCCCAGGCTGTTACCTGTTGATATTACCCATGTACTCCAACAATATCACCCTCTCTTTCCAAGTATGATAATCTATCATGTTTTATGCTCCAGTAATTCCACTTTTCCAATCACTTTTTAAGTTCTGGAGGTGAAGTGTTTCTTTTTCCTGCATCTGGGACCTCATCTATAACATGATTATCTAAATGTAAGTTGTAGCTCAGCGCAGAAGAATTCGATAATGGAAAAAGATGGCCTCCTGCTCCCTCACCTGCAGTAGCTGAAAACAGTTGTGGTTCCTCTACTGTGGAAAGTACAAGCTAATACAAGATATGTAAAGACGACTCGCCATGGCAAAAACCTGCAGGTATCTCTTGTGGAGTTGAAGTGAATAAATGAGACTTCTTAAATCTGGAAGACTTACTGCTCTAACAAGTAGTATTTTTATGCTGAGACAATAAGCAACTTTTTCTAATTCAGTAGTTATTTTGACTAACTCATTAGTTCTCTGTATGGCTATAAGTTGTCCTCTCTTCAATCTTGCTTGTCTCGAGGTACCTGATAAATGCCTATTCTGCTTCATTTTTCCTGGCTCTGTGTAGTGTGACTTCTTTTGCTTCTAACTGAAGGACACCAAAATGAAAATGCCTTCTACAGCATCACACCTGAAAATTAAAAAACTTCATACCAAATCAGTTTTGTTTAAAGCAGCAAGGCTCAACCTAAATTTTCTTTCTTCATATTCCTGTCATGGGAAAGAAGCAATGCAAGATATTTCTTGCATAATGTGCTATTTGTAGAGGACTAAAATGTATGGTATACTTTATTCAGTTGATTCTTCTATCACCTTGTCTTGCTATAATTTATGTATTCTCTTCATGTATAAACATTTATTTTCATAGCCAAATTCATAAATATGTTTAGGCTGATATTAAAAATCTTCTAGATAAGCATTTTATTTCCATTACATTTGTCTGTAAAACATTTTAAGATATCTGAAGTAGAAGAATAAAAGATAAAGTTACTTACATATAAAATCATTTAGCAGAAAAGTAGCAATTTGGGTTTTTTAATAATAGATACCACATGTCCCTGTGTGGTTTATATTCACAAGTTGCTGAAGGAGACAGGGTAGAGAAAAATAAATATCCATAGCAGTGTATAGGTATATGAAGGCCCAGTTAAGCCATTACAAGATTAATGCCAAATAGCAATATTGTGTAAATGGTTCAGTTAAAGATTCACATTATATTATAGTAATAGATTGCACATGTAGATCATCAGACAAGAAAGAGATCACCAAACTACATTGTTTTGAATCTGTAATATATGAACTTGAGTCAGTGGAAATAATTCCAGATTTTCCTTACCCTTTTTTCAGTCAGAACCTGAGTTAAATGAACAGAACACAAGTAAATATGACTGTGAATGTGCTAAGAAATATGGGTCAGATTGACATGAAATGACGACTGTCTTGAAGAGTTTTCTGGCAGTATCTTATTTACTGACATGAAATTTAAAGATAGAATAAGTGTTATCACAGGGAAGAAAAATCTTACAGTTCAGCCTTACTGAAGTGAATAAAAACCATGGTGGAAAATATACTAGTGATTAATATTGATATTTTGAGATGGTCATTTCCTTAGCAGCTGAAGTAGAGTAATACTAGGAAATACCAGGTATGTTCTCTCCCAAAATAGGATGGAAGGTTGATGCCACACAAGAGGGAAAATAGTTTTCTCTGTATGTTATTTGCCTTAACTTTCACCTTCAGAGTGTTCTAATGTGCATTCAAGCATCACAGCATGAGCTCTGAAACAGGTACTATTGGAGCTGATGCTTTCTGATGTGCTAGCACTAACTCATATTTTAAGCCTTTGGTAAAACTACTTGGAGGGATTTCTGCATCTTTTCTTCTTCCTGCTCCACACAAAGCAGTAATGAGGAGACTGACCCTGTGTTTGATGGTCGGCAGCAGTACTGAAAGCTTGATCAATCCTCTTGGCAGTGTTTTGTTATCCTAGTGCTACATGAGGTGCACTATCTCATGAGCATGGCCAAGAGAAGACAGTAATGGCTGCAATGACTCTGAGTAAACAGGGTAGGAGGCATGCAGCCTCTGCAGAGTTTACAAATCTTATGCTAAGGATCAAGCTGGAGTGAAGTATGGGTGGAGTACACAGTAGAAAACTCGTCATGGATTGAAAGATGAGAGATGTATGGCATATATTTTGCTGTGAGTGTCCAAGGACTTAAAACAGTTGTATTGAAGGCTTAAAGTCTTCTGCTACAGAGATTAAGCAAGGGAGAGAGCATGGGATGGCATACACAGTGGCTGAATGATGCTTTGAGAGAGAAAAGTTTCTCAACACTGAAGACAGCTAAGAAACAGGGGCCAATATTGTGCTCAAAAAGATACAACAGATAAATGAACCAAAAGAGATCTGATAATGTAGTTAGTGAGTAAAGCTATATTTATAGAGAACCTCAGCTGTTTGTTGCTCTGACACTGGCCTGACTGGCCCAGCCTGTCCCCTGGTGTCATGGTCCCTTCCAGGCCAAGCCCAGGGAAAAAAAAATACCAAAATTAACCACCAAAACAAAAATTTCTATTTGCATATATTTATTTTCACCAAAATAATTACATATTGTTGTATTATGCAATTGAGTATCTTCAGTGAGATTGGAGTGTGTGTTCATCTGAAAATCTTCATTTGCCATAAAGAGAACTTTTTTTCCTATAAATAATATAAAAAAGTTATATCTGAAACACATATGACACTCTTTTGAGTCAAAAAATAAATTCAGATAGACCAAAGACAACATAGAACATAAAGCACCTTCCTCCAATGCATTTAAGGAAATGTTTTTATCTTCTGAGATAGAACAGTGACACCAGGGTGTTCACTCTATCTTCTGCACATAGCTGTTAAAAGTTTTACATGTGTATGTGGACTCTTCAGACATAAAAGTACTTTTATTGTTCAAATTACAATTTGCTTGCTATAATACACAATTGTCAAGGCCCGTATTTGTCACAAATTTTTAATGGGATCAATAAATACTTAACGTTATTCCTATTCCAGATAACAGCAGCTGTAAAAAAAAAAAAAAATTAAAAAAAACAAAAACAAAAACAAACCAAAATCAGTTTCTTAGTGTCACTTCTTGCTTAGTAGTGTTAGAATGATAGAATCTAAGTAAGAATCTAGTTCCCATTCCCTTGAGGACAATCCTTCAAGGTGACCATGAAATACTAACAAACTATAGAGGAAAGGTAAGTAGAAGGTGTTAGTGGTGGAATAATTACAACAAATTAAAGAAAGTTTAGGATAAAAAACTACTATAAAAAATGAACGTTAGTCTAGATTTCAAACCTATTGACAAAAATTCCAGTTGGAATAAGAAAAATATATTTTCTGTATC